TTTTTTTTTTTACAAACCTTCATCTCCCTTTTGATTCGCATGTCAGCATCCTTTTCACCTAAACTTCTTTGGTATCTGTCTTCCTCATTCTTTTAAAGGACATGCAGGTGTCTGGCGTTGAGGATGACAGCAGAGCTCTTAATATTGTCATTCATAAACCCAGCTCCAACCCTCATGCAAAGCCCCTGCCAATCCTGCAGGCCAATTTCATCTTTGCTGATCATATTCGCTGCATCATTGCCAAGCAGAGGCTAGCCAAAGGGCGCATTCAGGCCCGACGCATGAAGATGCAAAGGATTGCAGGTAAGAGGGAAAGAGCAACTCCTACTATGTTTCCTAGCATATATTTAAAATATTTATATGCACCTTATAAAGAAGTTACTTTCATGTCCTTATTGTTTTAAAGTGTTCTCACAGTAGTTCTATTATATACCTAAATATTATAATATTTCGGGCAATATTTCTGTTTACTTAATACCAGGTTAGTACAGAAACCCAGCAGATTGCATCAGGTCATTAATTGAAAGCATTGAATTATCCTAGATGAGCATGTAGCGACAGTGGAGAGTCGCTTGCATTGTGTCTCTAACTTTGCAGGAATCCCCATGCTGAGGATGCATGTAGTTGTTTCTCCAGCCGATCCAGGCTCAGTGGGAACGGCCTTCTGTCACGGCAAACTGGTGGTTTGAGAAAACAGAGCAGACGCACAAAATGAATATAGAAGCACTGATTCAGGAATACTTCTTATGTTAGAGGATAGTAAAAAGTGAATTGCAATATTAGCTCCTGTAGGGCCTTCATCGAGTAGGGAAATGCAAATGAGCTCTGCACCAGTATTCACGTCTAGAAGATAAAATACAACAAACAGTCACAATGGAAGTTCAATCAAAAGCTACGTCTATAAGAGAGACGGATTTGACCACTGAACAACAGCAGGAAGTGTGTCATCTGAAGAAAGACAACCTAAGGTTCTCAGTAGCAGCCCAGCCAAGGTTTTAACTGCTTGGAACACCAAGAACAATGAGGTTACTGTGGAGAGAGGGAAAAAAAAACGGGTCACTAATTTCAAGGGAATGTCGTTTAAACCAGTGCTTTTCAAACCAGTTCCTCAGGACCTTCTGTCCTGAATGATTAAGGTATGTTCTTCCCGCCACACACCTGACCAATAAAGGAATGCCTTACAGGTCCCTGCAGCCCTTAGTGATGGCAAAGGCGAGAATGCATTCATTTGACACAGGGTGCTGGAGTAGAGACGTATCTTAAAGGTGTGTTACGACCGGCTCACATTCGCCAAAAACAATGGGAGACCATGCTACAACCAGAGCTGAATAACATAAAATCAGATTAGTTTAAGACAAAGCAAAGGATAACAAAGCTGTTTGTAAATAATGTTCAATAGTGCAAATTAACAAAAGACAAACTCAAATATGCATAACTGGTACTTTATATCCTGGACCAAATCCTGATCACCTGCACTGAGGAGGAGCATACAGGATAGGCAGCAAACCATCAAACTGGCTAATAAGGCCTAGGGTAGCAACACATACCAGAGTGGCTTCTTGGTGGCAAGTTTAACACCGCTGTAAACCACAGTTTAAAAGTTCAAGGGTCGAGAGCAAAGATGTTGAATGGTTAAAGGGGACAGAGCCCCCCCCCCTTTTTGATTCTTTTTCCCTGAAGGTTAATTTTAAGGTAGTAAAAGGAAAACAGAAGCAGTTTGAATAATAAAGGAAGCAAAACTTTAGTTTACAGTATTTAAGTTACAGCTTAAAGTTTGAAGCAAAGCTTAAGCACTAAATGGTTTTGTGGGTGAGGTAAGATCCCGCACTGAAAATGGTCGCTAGGATTCACATGCTAGTCCTGTTTAGTCGGCATAAGCAGCTACGTTTGGAGATAACTCAGTATAACCTAAGCCACTTACACACATTATTGAAAGAAAAAAACAGAAATCAGAACATAGTGGGCTTCCTAAAGTGTGGTTCAGGTTTAGATATCATTTCCAAATTTGTGTATGTTCTTTATGCAAGTATAAACACTATAATAATGTCCCACTAAAGCTGGTAAAAGGAAATCTCTTTACCAAAGTCCTGTACCAACATGGACTAAAAACCACTCACAAAACGACTGGCTGTAACACCAGGTACAGAATAAAAAGACAAAGAGATGAATATCATGCACCCTGAGGAAAGCAAAATTGAAATGTTTGGACTTGATAACAATCATTACATTATTATTAGATGAGAGGGAAAGCTTGCAAGCCAGAGAAGACTATGCAGTTTGTGTAGTACGGGGAAAGAAGCGTCACACTATAGATCTTTTTTGCTTCATAGTGCACTCTACAACTGGATGGCATCATGAGGAACGGGTTATGTGGGAAACAGAAAATAAACATTCAAAGTTATGAAATGGGAAGAGAACTTGTCCTTGGACACTGATGAATCTTCCAGATAGACCGTGACCAAAAGCGTACAATCAGATAAGTGCTGAAAAACCATAAAGTGAAGGATATTGAAAGGTTCATGGCTGCGCCTGAAGGTCACGCGTAAACAAGGAGTTCTAAAAACTGCCTCTGTTAGGATTGCTGCATTGCTGTTAGGCTGAATGATTTTCTCTCATTCTGGCTGTAGGCAAGTCTAAACGACTTTAATAATATTAACCGACCGAAGATGTTTAGTTTAATTCATAGGCGGTGAGAAGAGTTTTTTTCTATACAGTGGATGTTAACATGTGATTTCAACTATAAGTACAAGACATTGTTTTCCTGGAATAGGGGTTAAAATACAGAAACGTGATAGATTACAACACAAGCAGGTGTGGAGCTGCTAAGCTTAATGGCATATTTTCACATGGCTCAAGTTATTATTCATTGCAATAAGGATTAAAAAACTTATTGGATGGACACACATGAAACGGATATTTAAATCTTTATCTTAGACAGGAGGTAATTACAGAACAAATAGAATCCATAAATAGATTAACGCTAAAACTTTGCTTTATAATAATCAGAGAATACAAAGTAGAGGATGAGCTGAGATTACTTGAGTGAGATTAACAGCATTACATGTAAAACTATAATATATATGGCAAAGTTTACTTTTCAAATGTTAAAATACACTAAACAATTAAATGGGAGATTTTTTTTAATGGACGATGAAGGATGGCACTAAGTAAACTGGATCTAGATGAGATTCTAAGACCAATAACTTCAGAGAATTATGGGTAATTATAAACTAAACCAGAAATGGGATGGAGAGAAGAAGGGTGTGAATCACATTAGACAAAAATAGGAGTAATAATTGGGTCTGAATATTTATAATGAGAATAAGCCACATGCTATGGGTGGACCCTAATTTACAGTCTAGCAAAGTGTCATATGTAGGGTTTTGTTTCCAGATGTGGTTGGATGACATGATAAAAACAGGGAACTTGGGGTTTGAATTTTTAAGGAAATCTGTCAGGACAGAGAGGTCAAATGAAGTCTTTACTGGAAAACGACAACTTGAAGAAAACAATATTATATAATGTGATCATCATATCAGCACAGACTGTTTTTTGGCTTGTTATTTGTTGTTCTTTTATACATTTTTATTAATGAAAGCCCATAGAAGTGTCTGAGAAAATACAGCAACATTAAATTGAGGAAGCTTATCTTAAATATCTACAAAAAGATGTCTATAAAACCAAAACTTAAATTATTTATCATCAGTATTAATGATCTTTTTGTTTTCTCTTCAAACGTGCTCATGATAGAAGCCATATTTTTGCTCAAGCTTGTTTTTCTTGGACTTCTGAACTTCCTGTTGATTATTAAATGGAGAACGAGAGCAACATTTTTTTTTTTCTAAAGAAACACTTGAGTGATGGGTGAGATGCTTTTAAATATTGCAGAGTCCAGCCTTTACTCTTTTCTGTAAACGGTTGTACTGGCTCAGTTTTCCCTGCTTGCTGTTAACGTTGGTCCATTTGTGTTTTAAGTACTGGTAACTCCACTAGGAGTTGTTGTACTTCCCCTTAATATGGTCTCATTCTGTAGAAATATGCTCAAAACTAACAAAACACAAAATCTAGCCTAGTTCAGCAAATTAAGAAGGATGTGATGCCTACAAAAATAACCACAACTCTTAGTAACAGTTTTAGATTTATTTTCTTTGTCTAACAGAGTTTCACAGAAACAGTGTTACACAGTTTTTCAGCTTGATGAATTTTAAAAACATCTTTATTTTCCTTATGGATAAATCCGGTCCTTTTTTTCTTGATATAGCCATTATTTCTATACTATACTGTCATTTATCTACTCCCTGTGCTTTTAGCCCTGTTGGATCTGCCGGTGCAGCCCAGCGCTACAGAGGTGTTGGGTTTCGGTCAGACTGCCAGCGCCTCACCCAGCGGCCTGCCTTTCCGATTCTACGAACAGTCTAGACGAGCGCCCAATGATCCCACAGCAAACAGATCCGTTTTTGCCTCAGTCGACAAAGTGCCAGGTAACATAAACATACAGAAAAAACAGACAGAAAAATATACAGTATGTGAGTGGATTGAGGTGATAACTGGAAGATTGCTTTAAAGTGCTTATTCTGAAATGCTCTGAACTCCAAATTAGTGGAAATCAGTTTCTAATTTGACCTTCAGCATCAAAGAAGGGTGATAATATTCCACCCTGCAGGCATAGATTAGAGGTTTTTAGCAGAAGCACAGCTCTGCTAGAAGCAGCTGGAAAGTCCCCTGTCCTGGCCTTTATTAGATACGGTGGCTTTAAAACAGCCCTTGAACTTTTCCACATTTTATCATGTCTTTATGATTTATAACCACAACCTTCAGTCTGCTTTACTGTGATGTTATGCCAAACACTGACTAAAACATGACTGAAGTGAAAATTTTATTAAGTATTGAAAGTTTTAGGTGATTAGAACTCAGACAAGTTAGATGTTGCTGTAGTGATTCCTGTGGATACAATCCAGTGCAACCAGGTGTTTTAAACAGACTGGAATGAAATCCTGGAGTTTGGGTTTATAATAGGATTATTTATTTATTTTTAAAGATGTAAAATTTTACATTGTGATAAATATCTTCTGCTGTTCTTCATTTAATTAAATATTCGTCTTGTTTTGTTTTTTTTTGTTTTTTTTTAAGCATACTGTGAATATAGGCTAAAATAAGCTTATAAATAAGCTGTAGTTTTTAGAAATGAAAGAAAATGCCTTTAACTAATGGCTTGTAGAATAAGGGAAAAACTCTATATTTAGGAGGCTGGTAAAATGAAATAAAAGGCAGAATGTTGAATTTTAAAGAGCATATGGGTAATTTTGAAAACAGCTGTTTCAGTTATGCCCATTTAAACAGGATGATATTATCATGTAAGTATGTAGGATGACTCTGCATGTATACCAGCCCTACCTTGCAGCTTGTCCCGGTTTATGACTTTAGTATCTTAGGAATCTAGATAGCTGTGTTACTGTAGAGCATCTTAACCCTAATGAGAAAACCCAGACTGATTATGTGAGAAAGGTGAGACTTGTCCAATACCTGGATTAGTCATAGGTGAAGTTGTAATGAGAAATGAAAGAGCTGACTCCTTTGGGTAAGACGTACTACCTTAAAAGTGTTTTGTAATCCAGTTTTTGTGTCAAAGACTTATTTATCACTGTAGTAATTCACAGGATATGATCAGATTTTGCTTTTCCTCCTGACTCTATGGAGGTTTGCTAATGCTGTTTTTGTCTCAGGTGGACTAAGTTAAGATATCAATAAGTTACAAGCCAGAAAACTGGAGAGAAGGTTCTAAAAATGTAAATGTATGCCTTTTCTAAATGCTTCAGAAGTGGTATTACATGGTGAAAATGTGTCAGTTTATGTCTCACCACCTGCAGGTTTTGCAGTGGCCCACTGTGTGCCTCAGCACAGCCCCTCCCCACTGTCCTCCCCGTCACCTCCCTCCAGTGGGAGTGGGAGCACAGGGAGATGCGACTCTGTTACTGCAAGCTCTGCGTCGTTTCAGAGCCCCTCAGGTAATCCATACACTGAACTCTAACTTTATAAACACGTAGACAAGCTGGGAAATATACAGATCTGGATCTATAAAGGAGTCGTTATTTAAGAAAAATAACTTATTCTGCATTAAAAATTGTGCAGATTTTGTTTAGGAGACCAGCTAACGAGAGATGTAGCACTGCGGTGCAGATATATACATTCAGTACTCATGTCCTATCTCATGTGACTATATTTGCAACCCACCAAAACCACAGTAGTTTTTAGTGGTTCAGCATTGTGAAAATGTTTGTTACAGCATACTATAGGATGCCTATATGTGGTGTATGTGAGAACGTACATACACAGCCAGTACCGCTTTTTATATAGAGTTGATAAACAGCTGAATAAGATAAGTTACACAAAGTCAAAAGGCCTTAAGCTGTTAAATTACTACAAATGAAAACCTCAAAACTGTATTTTCAAACCATTCATAAGTGCTGTATCATCACACATTCACCTGACAGCTTTAATGTATTTTAGGTGTCGGATCACCAGATCAGAATGTAGCTGATTTCTTTGCATGTTACGGTTAGTTCACACAAAACCATTATTCCATGTTATGACACATAGCTCAGATGCTCGTTTCCTGCGGACACACGGAGGCAGTGGGGGTGTAGCTGTCTGTTCTTAGAAACAGGATGTTTGTGTTTTGGAATCAGAAAGATTCTCTACACACGGTTCATATTTTCAAATTAGTCACTCAACTTCTCTGTCATTCATCATGTGGATTATTTTTTTGGGGATGTTACACTGAGACTAGAATTAGTTTTCATTTTTCATCAGAATATATCAGTATAAAATTCAAAGAATTAATATGTTTGGACTTAATGTTGTCGTGTTTTCCTCCAGAGATGTTGCAAATCTTTGAAATGGCTGTAAACAAGTCCTGTATCAGCACTTGATGACATGCAGAGACTGCTTTTAAAAGCAGATCAGACTGGGTTTTTTGTTTTTTTTAAAATCAATCTTACTCCTTAAACCTGTTAATGTTTGGTTATAATTCCAAAGATTGACGTTTTGGAGTTTTAATGAAACACACCAAGTCAAAGTAGAAAATTAAACATGATCTGCAGATTTTTTTATAAACATTCAGTGAATAATAAACCAACTGAAAGTTTGGCCTCTGGGTGCAGCTTTTTCTTTTGTTCTCCAGGAACAGGTTTCAAATGTTGCTGGTTGAGGGGTTTCGGAATTACTCAAACCTAGCTTTGGCTTGAGGCCTTCATTTTCCAGAGCTTCCATTTACCCCTGGCTAATTTTAATGCTTGGGTTCTTATTTTGCTAAAACTTGCACTGCATTAGCCTAGATGGGCTCATACCATTTAAGTGGCTCACTATACTCCCTGCAGGAATGTATATTAATGTTCATTTGCTTAGTGCAGGATAAAAACTTCTGTCGCAAAACGTTTTGACTTATATGAAGTTCACAATCGTTTCACCGTGGTAGAGAAAAGAATAGACTCCATTTGGAGTTACAACCTAGTTTGGCCTTTACTTGGAATCCTCTAACTGCACCTATACTGTAAAACTTCAGTATAATATTTCAAACTTAGAAGATTATTTTATTAACAAATAACTTCTAAGCTATTGGTGAAAAAAATAATGACCAAGAAAGTGAACTACAGCACTTCTTTTAACATAAAACCATAACATTCTGCGAAGGGGTGTTTTTCAAATGTGAATTAATTAACAGACATCTATAAACTAGCACAGATAATTTGATGTCATTGTAAACCAATGTAGCTGAATTACAATTTTGAGGAATTTAATGTACTTGTAATATTTAACACTAGATCTGCATGATATGTAACTTAGAATGGCTCTTACAGTATATGCAGTATAGATTAGGATTATTATGTTATATCCACACTGAACGTGTGGGCATTGAGGGTAGGTGGTATTTCCCCATTGTGGGACAATAAAGGAATTTTCTATTCTATGTTTAGGTGCTGAGATACTAATGCTCACACAAAATGGAGGTGATGCTCTGTATAAGGAAGACGGTTACAAAATGTTGGGAGGTTAATATTTTTATGTGCTCTTTCCTGCTATTATAAAGCCCTACTTGGCGATCTTTTAGACCGTCCTACTTTCTAGCCTCTGAGACAGTTTTTTCACGTGCTTCTCTTAATTCAGCTGTCTATCTTTTTGCTGGTCTAGATGACGGTGCCTGTTTGGAGCGCACCCCATCCTCGTCCTCAGGCTGTGATGGGGAAGGAGGAGAAGCTCCCTCTACTCCATCAAACCCAGTCCCAGCGCTAGCACCAAGCCTCACCCCGGCCTCCCAGCCCACAATCTCCCTGCTGACAGACAGCAGCGCAGACACCCTAAGTGTGGAGTCACTCACACTGCTGCCCCCTGCCGATTCTCCACACCTCCATCCTTGTGCTGCGACTCACTCTCTACAGAGACCAGATGCGCCCATAATAGAGGAAGAGAAGGAGGCTGATGGAGAAAGAGAAGAGGACGAGACAGAGACAGATGCAACTGTTAAAGATGAAACGACTGAAACAACGGAGATGATCACACCCACTGATGAGGGTCCAGAAGGAGCAGAGCAGCAAGGTGAGGATGGATCTCTGGAGTATGAAAGAGAGAGCACAACAACAGAGTCTGTGGAGAAGACTGGAGATTCAGAGATCCAGAAAGAAACGGCAGAGTCACCTGAACTGGATTGAACATTTATACACATGTATAGCAGAGTGCTGGACAGTGTGGTGGGTGGACTGTTCTGTACTGACAGTTATATTTTCATGTCACCATCCATGGGGATCTTTGGGTGTAATGTAATACTCCCACTGTGGATTGGGAGGTATCTTCTCATTTGTGTTTGCACAGTAAGAAAGACACTTTTTCTTCTATGAGAAAAGAGACAGACACTGGACATTGTTTTCTGAGCACTCGTGAGCCTGGTAAAATTTTATCAAGGCACACAACCAGCAGCTTTTTGTATTCATTCAGATAGTTTAGCATTTCTACATGTCCCATGCTAATAATGTGAGCAGGTTTTCCACTTTTCTATGACATACTTCAGTTCAAATAAAGGTCACATCCGATTTAGGGCAGCATTGTTTACAATGCTAAACACACAAGGTATACACATAGTTTGTACTTTCCTAAACAGGATCTGCTATGACTTTTAGTATCTGTATGGAAAATGATTAGCAGCAAAAGCATTCCCAAGTTGACGTTTTGTCAACATGGGGTCCAGTTTTCATTTTAGTGGCCTGTTTTTAGAGGCCGATCACTGAGCTTAAGCACCACTTACACTGTTTTGACTATTTGCATTGATGCAAATTAATGCTAGATGTACATAGTATAAACAGTATTTAAATGTATTCATTTATTTATTTATTAATTTACTAATTCAGTCTAATAACAAAGATGAAATTGAAGTCTGATTAAAAGAGAAGATGGTTTAGTGGGAGTTCTTTTGTCGGTCGGGTATCTGGGATAGGTTAGAGGAACGATCTTAGCTCCTTCAATGAGCGCAAACATTTAAGGTAAATTGTAAAAAAAAAAAAAAGTTTTTTTTTTTCCCCTTTGAATCAAGTTTGGACAAAACCTTAAATTTTTGTTTTTTTATTCATCAGAGCCCACATGCTAAGGCCATGCTGCTTCTTAACGTCCCACTTTAATCAGATAAATGAAGCTTTACTATTGCAATAACCTTAAAGTTAACCAATAAAAGAAGAGATGAATGTAATGTTTTACTTTTTCTCCACATAGCAGTGTTTTTGTTCTCAGCTTCAGTTCCAACTTTTATTTATTTTATTCTTTTGGGGGGAGGGGGGGCATCACACAGTTTGTTTAAATCTCCCATTTATTCCTTTTAGTTGTTGTTCACTCCTAATTTTCCTTTACTTCCGTTTCAATTTTTATTTTCTGTGCTATCAGAACACAATTTCGATCTTAATGCTTAATCATTCTTCTTTCTAAATCCAGAGCAATACTCTTTTATGGGTCTGTCTCTTGATCTTTTCATCCTGCTGTACATAAAAGCAGAAGGATGCTGTGGATCAGTGGCACGCTGAAATGGTTGATGGTAAGCGGTCGGTTTAGGAACATGTCATGTGCCTCAAGCCACTAGAAACTACCACAGCATGCCATCAGAAGCCTCAGCAGTCATCCGATTGTAGTGTGAATGTGTATATGATATATTTGTATGCTCTGTAAATGCTCTGCTTTTAAACTTGTAAGTATTGTTAATGAATAAAAACAAAGAAATTAAGAAATGCAATAAATTATTCTACCTAACAGTCTACAGTTCTGGACTTGTTTGTAGACAGAACCTGCTTATCTCTGTCTCAGTATGAATGTACATGCTTGATATTATAAAAAAAGTTATTAAATAATTATTTTTATTTTATTCAACATTGGAATGTACAGCTTTAGTTTATTTTTTGGGGGGGATTTAAAAGTCACAAAGTCAAAAGGTCTATTTAGCGACTGACAGCTTTCATTTCTGCTGTTTTACCATTGAATATAAACACTATATGTTTCTTCCTGTGTGAGATAGCTAGCAGGTTTGAGGCCAGGATCGTGACGTGGTCTCTGTTTCTCTGTGGCTGTTGCTGGGGCCCTCAGTCATCTTGTGGTCTGTACGTGTTAGTTTTTATCGCGGTTCCTCTCTTCAGGGAAGTCTAGTTGTGTGTGCGTGAATTTGAACAGGTTCCTGGTACTGAAGCGATGCTTTGTGTGTCTTCTCTGTACCGAACCACAGTCACAGCATGAATTAAGTTTTTTTTTTTTTTTTTTTCTGTAGAGATCACAGATAGATTTGACTTTTTTTTTTCTTTCTCTGTGCTGTTGTGCTTTTGGAGTCATCATGTACGTCATTGTGTCTTCACATGTGGCAGCTCTGAGTATGAGCGGTTCACCAAGGATGTTTACTTAATGAGAGAACTCTTGGTAATGAAACTATTCAATCTGGGTACATAGTATTTATTACTGCACAAAAACGACACATTTATAGTAATACCAAAAATTCATTTTTTTGTGGAGAAAGCATTTTTTTCAAATGGTTAAACCTACATTTTTCTTTTAACTATGTGAGGAAATATGAGTTTTCCTTCCAGACATCAGACATTGATTTTTTTTTTTACAGAAACCTGAGCAGGGTATACCTCTTTCGGACTGTGGTCCTGGTGGGTGAAACTTCACGCACTCTTGCAACCAAACCTCCTAGAAAATAATCTGTTATGGAAGAATGAAAAGTTCAAAGTGCAGCAAGCAAAACCTGATTTAACACTTGACCAAAGTAAAGAAACAAAATCTCTACAGGGTCATAGCTACAGCAGGTTCATTAAAATCATTGTTTCTAAAAATAAATCCATACAATAAGCTTAGAGTTTTGCAGAATTGAGCTATTATACAAAAAAAAAACACTTTGAATACAACAAAGCTACTCCACCTTCTTTGTACTATGCTAGAATGTAAAAAAAAAATAAAAAATATTGTTTATGCTGAATCAAGGTTTTCAATTGGATTTCCCATAATTTAAAACCAGATTTTTAAAAAGAAAAAAGGAACTTGTTTTAGTTGCAATATTTTCTGTTGAAAGTTTAGGAAATTTTTGGAGCAGAATGGCTCACTAAATGAGAACAACATACATGCATGAAAGAGGATTTAAGATGCTATAACTTCTTAATGAAATAAAAAATGAAATAAAATATTTAATTTTTACTAGATTTGAGGAGTTTAGTGATTCATCCAGCCATTGCAAGTTACTGTCAGACCTTTTCTGCTCAATCACTGTTTCTTATGGATCTGTAATCCCACTGGAAATATTAAAATACTTCACTGGAAAGAAACAAGATAATTATAGAAGAACATCAGCAGAGGGTCGTGGGGAATTTCTAAATTATTAAACGTTCTGCCGACAAATAGCAATTTTTACAAAAGTTTTCAAAGTGCCCAGTGGAAGTTGGCTAACTGAGAGGAAGTTTTCAATCTTTTTTTGTTAGATAATTTTAGTCAACATATGTAAAGGTATAGTGGAGGATGTTCTTTTTCTGGGTGGATCATCAAAATAAGTGGTCTACCTAATTGTCAATCAATCTGGTGATATGTTTACGTAAGGCCTTCCTATGTGCTGGTCCCCATTTTCACTCACAGGTGGTGAGTGTGATAGTGGAACAATTGCAAATCTTTTGGAAAGTAAGCTTGTATGAGCGATGCAAACGCTCTTTTAAACAGAGGGTGCATGAGGATAAATGGGCTCATGCAGGCTCTTGCGTGTATTAAGTGGAGAGGGCGACTCTTCAAAAACTCGCGAATATCCTCAATTATACCTTAAAGGAATTCGGGAGTTTTAATTTATACTCTAATTTCAATCTTTTTTAGATAAATGACTTCTGTTTGACTCAACAAAAAATAGATTTAAACTGAAAGTTTTTGAGCAAACCTAATCCTATGATTTGGACTTGATGCCTAAACCTAATTTAATAGCTTCAGTTTATCCCCAACCTTAATATTGGTAGATGGGAAACCTGAATCTGAGGTAAGTGGCTTTAATATCAATTTGTTAAATTCTTTTTAACAAATTAACTTTTGATGTATATTTCAGGCACTGATTCTAAAAATGGCGGCGCCCTGCCCCTCCAGTACAGTAGTCTTGGGGGATCACCTTCACCTTTTCAGACACCTTGTTTTTTTTTTTTTTGTTAATTTCGTTTTGAGTGGCGTTTGTGTTAAAGAATAGATTATAGCTTTCCTTAGAAATCAGCTGCTAACACAAAGTCATTCAACACCTTTCTTCACCTTTCACTTCTCTAAATAGTCGGGAATCTCCTGATAACAGCATAGCTGAGTGAAATTGAAACAAACACGCAATCCAGTTTTCACCGAGCCTGAAGGAGGAACTTCTACCTAAATAGCGTTTTATGCATTGATAATTTATCTCAGTAAAACGAAAAACATGTGAGAATTAAAACCAGTTAAAGTCTAGGATGTCACAGAGGTATTAAACACTGACTTATTTGCTGTGCTGTCCCACTTCTGGCGGCCGTCATCCCCAATCTGAGATAACATCCTCTAACTAGTCTGGCTTTTCTTGAAACGCACTGACTATACTATTCGGTATGACTCACCTGAGTCTGTTTGGCTACATTGGTCTAGAACCAAAGAAGTTTGTAAAAATCCCCATAAGGTCACAAAACCTTTTGGTTTAGATTTGGTTTCAGCGTTGGAGGTCTGGTTTGGTATGACTGAGAGTCTGGCAGAGAGGCAAAGTTACAGCTAAAGATAAAAAAAAAAAACAGACTGCATCACACAATGTGACACATACTCTCACAAATGTCACTGATGTGAAAAGATAAACATTTGTGGTCTAATCATACAAATGTATGACATCTAAACCAGATGATAATAAATGGATGCTTTCATCTAAACGAAACTGCCCATCAGGGTCTGGATATACCCACCCCTATGGCCTGTTTTCTCAGTATTTTCCTTCCAATGATACAAAAAAAGTTATTGCAATTTCCTTTAGACCCATAACGCAGAAAGTGGAAATGTTAAGTGTGTGAGGTGATAACATCGCTATGTCGGGTATCTACCAGGAGGTTTCCCGGATAGTATTACTTGAAAGATATGCTTGTCTGAATATTAATCCTGAAAAATGTCCAGATAAATGTAGTTATTTTCATATTTCAACTTTCTTTCTGGTTTCTATCTACCTCTGACAGCAGAGGGTGTTACAATGCATGTTGTTTATTTAATCTATAGGGCTATAGATATTGGACAAGGTCGTGATCGCCTCTGAGAGCAACAGGCTCACGGACATTTTAGTTTTGACTCCTGGGTTGGTCATAACATCCAAAACTTTTTTCTATCTCATAAAATAAATCTGATTAGTTAAGAAGGGCATTGACGGAGAGAAAAACTGGAATTAAGAAAAAAACTAATGGAATGACAAAGTCTAAATGACTGAAAGCTACATTTGCAGCACAGAATACTATATATTATGCCTCTGTGTAAATTAGTCTATGGGAACCTGGATGGGACAAAATTAGTTCCATATAGAAATGAGTGGAATTATGAATGTATAATCTTTCTTGATAATCACAGAAAAGTTGGCTGCAAAGATTTAGATATTGACATAAGTGTCACTACCATTGTTACATTAAACGTATTGTGGAGAATTTTCGCTAATTTTTTATAGACGTGCCCTCTCCACTTTAAAAAGAACCCTGTACCCACTCCTGAGAGTGAATGCCAATTAAACACGTACAAGAGCATGCAAGAGCCTATTTCTCCACATACACGCTCTGTTTAAAAGTTGCTGTTCACATAGCTCATACAAGCTTAATTTGTCTGAACATCCACCTTAACCCCTTAAACCCACCATCAATATATAGAGCGGGAACAATTTAGTGGACTTTATAGCAAACTCAGTTATTGTAACTGACCGTTCAGACAAATGATCACTGCTTTTTGCTCCCCGCTGGTAACGTAACTCCTCCTCCACCGCGTGATGCCTGTGCCATCTTTGTTATTAGTCAGCACTGTCAGGTAGCGACAGCGGTCCCGTGTGACATCAAATCCCATAATGCTTTGCGAGGAGAGCTCTCCGCTTAAAGCATTCTGAGGGCTTATTTTTTCTCATCATTCACGTTTTCTCTTAGGACCCTCGGCCAATTTCAAAGAACCGGGGTTAGAAATGTGAGCTTCAATGACTGTCTGAAACAGTAGCTCACCACACATGTATTCCTGAACGTGTACATGCAGAAAAGGATAGGTATTAGGACCAGCATGTTGGACGGCCTTACATAAACATATCACCAGAATGATTGACAATTAGGAGGACCAATTATTCAGATGATCCACCCCGAAATAAAAGATCCCCTTATACCCTTAATTAACATGGCATAAGCAACTTCTTATATAAGCGAGAAAATTATGACAGAGTTTAGACACCACCAACATAATGGACTGTACTTATTTGTTGGGTCTCTGTGTTGGGTGCTTGTGATTGACCTTCTCCTCAGGGTGTGTTTGGCAGGATGAGTTTCCAGATGATGCCACTTTGCTGCAATCAGGAGGCATTATTTAGAGGAGTGGATTTCTAGGATGGACGCCAGTTGGTTAACTTCCACACCGTGGTAACTTACCCACCTGCTCCTCTCATTCTGATTTTTTTTTTTGGTGTGAACTTACCATCCTTGTCCTCCTTTGTTTCAGAGTCCATCTCCCTCACTGCCTCCTGAATCCATCCAAAGAGGTCATCTGCCTGACCACCCATCAGAGAAAGAAAAGTGAGTCACTGCCGCCCGATTGGATTCCCACTATGCCTGAAAGACTCAGGTTCCCCCCCGGACAAATCCCCGCTTATGAAAACTGTAAGGCCTGCACAATCTTTTCTCACATCTAAGCTTCCTCCTGAAGCCGCATTTCTCACTGAATCTCTTCCCCCAGAATGATCCAATCTAAACCACCCTGGTGGCCCCGTTTCTAGGACAACCAAACTCTGTGTTTTTCCAGAAAATAAACCTCTGAAATGACTTACCTTTGTCTGACTGTGATCGTGCCTGCTCCAGTCAATCGTAGCATCATGTCATTATTGTACTACTTACTGCCATTCCTAATGAACCTTAGGTCCATTTAAAGATTGACTGTTTATACATCAGTTTAAGTTAAACAATAATAAAACACTTGATGCAGTCACTTACATTTTTACATCAAACCACAGACACAGAGCATGCTGTTATTTGCCCATGGATGTAGCAGATAAAGCTAATTGTAGAGGTTCTAGCCTTTTTATAACCCCACAATAACTCCTGAGGTTTCCAAGTACAACTTTACTGAGAGCTCTTAAAGCAGCAAGTAAGTGTTATTGAGTTTTAGCTGTTTTTTTTTTTTGTTTTTTTTTTGTCCAAAAGAAAAGCAATGCATTTGTAGTTTTATAAGTAGCCATTGTATGCTTGACTAAATAAAGTAGTTTAATTGTACATTAAAAATCTTTGGTTTGAAAAAAGAAAACTGGCACCATTTGAAGATCTGCCTGCTGCCTGATCAAAACGGAGAAATAGTTGCAATAATTACTGTTTAACCAACATTTTCTTTAGGGTTGGAATAACAAGTATTACCCTAGTTTGAATGCTAAGTTACCTTGTCACACAGCCCAAATGGTTGACTTGTGAATGGCGACACAACTCTGAAGCCATCTACAAGAATGGAAAGAGCAGATTGTCTTCTGCGTTTGCAGCAACATCCTACATATCTTCTATAAATCTGTTGTGGAGGGTGTGGTCTCTTCTTCTTCCATCCTCTGCTGGGGTAACAATATTAGAGCTAATGACTTACAAAAGCTCAACAAGGTAATTAAGAAGGCCAGCTCAGCTTCTAACAACTCCTCTAGAACCCCATTAAACTTTTTCATAAAGAAAGATCCTTGATAAAGTGAAGAACATTATGGACAACAGTGAGAATCCTCTTCAGAAGTTTTTTTTTAAACAGCAACAGGGTATCCTGAGTCAGAAGCTTTTCCAGATCTGGTGCAAGACAGACAGCTACAGAAGATCCTTCCTGCGTACAGCTATCATCACCTACTAAACATGTTTTTTTTTATGGCACTGGTGCCCCATTGTTATGGACAGTAGGCTGACAGGTAAGGGGGTATGAGAGAGGGAGAGATATGCAGGAAAAAACCACAGGCCAGGTTCGAACCCGAGTCGCCTGCATCAAGGACTAAGGCCTCTATACATGGGTTGTGTGCGCTAAACACTGCACCACCAAAGCCTGCCAAAGGTTAGTTTTCTGTGCAGTCCTTTTCCTTCTGCACAACACAGGTTTTAAAAAATAACATTTGATTTACTGCAACATTTAATTTCTTTTTGGGATTAATCAAGTGTTAATCACAAAAAGAGTTAAGCCTTTTAGGTTCATATATGATGCTCTTTTCTGGTTGTTCCATGCTGTTTTTTCTTCTGCTTCATAACGATTTAGAGTTTGTGGATTAGGTTTGTATTTAAGGTTGGTGGTCAGATATTACAGTATGACTAAAAAAAATTTCAGAAGGTGGAAATGGATTGATTGGGTGAGCTCCATCACTATATAAATGAGCTAGCACCCAAAAATCAACAATAAATTGTTCCCTTATTCAGTAACCGTGGTAAGTTTTGGTGAATTTTGCCTGATGTTTCTACATTTTGCCACTCTCCCCTCATGCTGAAGTTGATTCTCACAGGGTGAAAGCTTTTTTTTTCTACTTTTAAAGTTCAGGAAACTACTTTGACTCCATTCATCATAACTGACAAGAATGAACAACAGCTGTTATATTGTTTCTGTTCAAACAAGTTTCAGACTTCCTGAAAGTCTTGAGGAAGCTATCAGTTTTAGCTGATTAACACCATGACGGTGAGTAAGGCTTCTGGTAAATCTTTTGACCTTAAAAAGCTGCCAGACACACCACAATGGAAAGGTGTTCAGCGGAGGCTGAAGATGTACTTTGATTAAATCTGTTGTTAAACTGAAAACGCATTGTGATCCTTTGTTCAGAGACGCCTGTCATTACACAATATTTACACAAAAGGCCTCTTTAAAATGTGACATTCAGATGCCACTTTTTTTTAAGCCTTTGCAGAACCTCTGGACCTTTTTCTTATTGTACAATAAACCCTGAATTAGGCCTCTTTGTCTAATCTGGATCAGCATGCCCGTCTAACCAATAACCCTCAAAGATATCCCACTTCCTCTTGAAGAAACGTTAATCTGTGCGCACATTTATAGATTTACTATAACACACGTTGGTATGTGTCATCCCATCCCCTGGTTCTGGTAAGTGTGATTTTAAAAGTGTAACAGTTCATTTACTACCAAAGTAACCCCACCCACCTGTCACTTTGCCCTACAGAGATGAGTCAGTGCGGTGATGATACTGTATTTTACCTTCCACACTTTCTGTCTGTCCTGCGACATGTCTCTTCCCACCTGACCCAAACAAAACTTCCATTATAAGATGCAACTGAAGGTAAAGATACTCCAAAAAAAAAAAAGAAAGGGGAAAATCTTTAAGCTTCACTTAAATACATTTTATTCAAAATATTATTTTAAAAATACACAAGAGTAGAAAATATATAAACAATCAAATCTGCCTGGCAGAAACAGTTAAATAAGAGGTGGTCGGCACCTCTGTATACAGTACATTACAAATGAATATCATGTCTTCAGCTGTTTGCGACAAGATTTCACCTGGACCATCACTGAATGCGGTTTGAGCCTTCAGTGCTGATGAACATTCAGAGACGATGTAAACTTTTTTCTTTAGAGTATTTAAGTCTGCTACAAATTTGTGCCGCATAGGCAAATCAGCATGTGATGGTTTCAACCGCTCCCTCCACAGCGACTCTAAATATTTTGAAGTCCGTTCCCTTAATGTCGCTCGACGGGATATTGGAACTTGTTGACTTTCCACCGCAACAGTCCCAGTTGTGCTCACTGGTATTTTTATCTCTGTAAAAGCTCCTATAGATGTGTAGTTTCCCTTTAATGCAGCACTTTTCAACTTCTCATACTTCCTCGTTTCCAAAGGATGCTTCTTCCACATGTTATTGGGTTTTAAGTCTCTAGAGGTAGTAGATGTTGAGATGTCATGAAAGTTTAATGTCCAACTGGAGGCTTCATGTGTTTGACTTTGGTTATTGTGGTTCTTTAGGAGCAGTTCACAGCTTTTAGTCCAAAAAGAGTTTGTTGATTTTTTTAGTAACCACGGTGATGTAGTCTCTACCTTAGTTCCCTGATGCAGAGACTTTATCAACCCGTTTGCTGTACCGTTACTTGGTGAAAGCTGCCATCTTGAAATCAAGAACAAAACAGCCAAAACATTATGCAGACTGTTCATAGTTTGTAAGGGAACTCCAACAGGAAATCTTTGACCACATGTGTGACAGGCAGTTCTGGAATGCCACCCTTTCCTCCGCACACCTCCATGATCCGCTTCCTGCACAGCTCCTGCAGGGTGGGCTCCCATTTCCTGTAGGGGACTGTCAGGCTCTTCTTAGGCGAGTTCATATAATGCTCCAAAAGGGCAAAGAGCGTTGGGAAGGAGCGCTCGTTGCCAGCAAGAGAGAACCTCTGCCGCTTGTAGTCGATGCGCACGCTGACCGGTCCCTTCTTGTCGTGGTAGGACAGAGTAAAGAAGACGTCCTTCTGTCGACTGTCGCGGATGAGGAAACTGCCCAGGGGGGCGTTGCGGAGCATGCAATGGGCCTCCTCTACTCCAAGTGGGCCCCAGTAGAAGCCGCTGCGCTCGAGCTTGGTAGCTGTGTCTGTGATTAGGCTGCAGTCCTCTTTGGAGGTGAAGGTGCGGAAATGAGTCAGGTACACAGAGCGAGCAGATGCAGATTTCAGACTTGGATTTGGACAAGCCTGACGCTGAAGCTGCTCCGACTGTTTACGGGTTGCTGATGCTGATGCTGACGACACAGAAGGTGATGATGATGGTGCTGGTGATGCGCTTGGTAAGGCGGTCTGCTCATGGCCTTCCACTGTGCTGTCGGCTACCATCCTACAGTGGAGAGAGGCCCTGAAACCTCTCCCATCTCTAACCACCACACTGACATCCTGAAGGAAAGAAAGGGAGAACTCAGGTTAGTTATTAAGCAATTAATTAGCAAGTACCCTAATTTTCCCACTGTAGGACAATAAAGGTATCCCTATTCTATTTGCTGTTTTTCTATTCTAATCTAAACCCAAAAAGCAAAGCTTGGGAGTGACATAGGGCTTTTTAAACAATACAAAACAGGAAACAAAGTGTAAATAAAATGTATTTTTGGCTCATCAGCCTTTATAACATAGATATGCATCAGTTTTTTTGTTGTTGTTGTTGTTTATTTTAGTATGTTATAACCTCACTTTTGTTAACTTGAGACCCCAATTCTGGGAATCAGTGCCCAAACACATCAAAGGATGCTGTGCATTATGTTAGTCATGTAATCTTTCCACAGGACGGTTCTGTTCTTGATATGACTGGAATTTGTGGTTTTGCTGGTAAACCCACATCCAATTTACTGTACTGGGTCTCCATACAGAAACATACACACACACAAATATATATAATATTTTTTTTCTATTTGAGGGTGGAAACATAATTTGACATCCTGGTTGTCCCCAAAGGGAAGAGAAGAGTCTGCTGTCAGGCTTATGTGGCTGAAATGAGTGAATAATACAAAAGCCAAATTCTTTATTCATGCAGTCAACTTAAAGCCAATAAAGAGGACTCTGGTTCTCCTAGTCATGTCTGATGCAGCATATGATTCATCTTTTACTGTCTGGGTTCACTCAGCAAGTTAAAGGAAATTGGAGCAAAATTCCAGGAAAATATAATGATTAACACGAAGAGGAGTGTCTTAGATTATGAATGCTTTACAGGATTTATCCTTTAGTAGAAGTTTATGATCCTGAATGTTTGCAGCAGCAATGCACTGCTGATTTTCACTTTCTGACTCCATTTATTTGATCCATTTATAGCAGGACTGCAGACAGAATATAGATTTGCACAACAACTGCAAGAAGATCCATAAAAAAACAGCCTTTCAAAAGGTTCATATAAAGCAATAATCCATCGTAATCCCTTTTTAGCATATAAATAATTTTAGGAGATCCTCACCGTTTTGTTTCCAGCAGCTGCTTGTTATGGATGCTTTAATCTGTAATCCCAGAGATGCAAGGTTATGATGGTTAAACACAAGGAGATAATCCTGCAGGGTGTCAGAGGACAGCTGTGCTCTCAGCCTCTGCTCTTATAGATCCTCATGCGGCTGTGGCTCCCAGCCGTCGGCTCGTTTGCTTTCCCGTATGAGCGTGTGAAGTCTGCCACAGTCTTTATGTAGCGATCACAGCCCGTCCCCTGAACAACACCACGTGACTTATGCTCCTCCTGTTATTTAGCGGCAGTCCTACAGTTTCTCATAAAATGAAAGTGAAACTCTTTGCTCCGATTCTTATCCCGACTTATCTTTCACTTCGTTTGAACTCTGTTTTAACCGCAAAGCCACATGACAATAGGGCGTTTACAGAAAGACAGGTGACAGATTCGAGTAATTGGAGTGTTTCCTAAATACTTCCAAGTCTGGGCGCCATGGCTTCAGCTTTTGTAATTATTACTATCATATGCACGCATTTAAAAGCATGTAGTATATGCAGGATGCAGCCATCACAGTCACACAGACAGGTCTACCAGAATTAATAATAATAATTATGAAATAAAAATTTGCAAAACTGCATAAGAAGCATAAGAAAATGCATGTGTAATAGAAACTAAAAAGTATAAAACCAGATTTAGAATAGACACATTTGCCTGGGGCCAGTTTTAGGAAACAGACTCATAAACAGAGCCTTGTCCTTGATTATTAAAAAAATACATTAACACCACATCTTTCTAAAAATGTCTTTATTAATTGACAAAAAAAAA